TTTTTATATATTTTATATATTTTTTTTATTGACTTCAGAGAGAGAGACTTATCAATAGCTTGCCACCTGCATGTGCCCGGAACTGGCCCGGGCATCAAATCCATTGCCCGGGAATCCCATCCGAGGCCGTCAGGTGCGCAGGCCGAGGCTCTAGCCAGGGCGGGATGAACAGCAACAACGAGAAATGCATTCCCAGTTCCCGAGTTTCCCCGTCGGGAGAGACGACAGCATCCGTCGATGGTATTTTAAAAAAATAAAAATAAAATAGTAATGATAATTTTTAAAAAGGGCTCCGAGAAGCCTGGGTTCGGCGCAGGGAGGAAACCATTTGGTTACGTAGACGACCGTGTGAGGGGTCGAAATAGACGCCGACGAAATAGACGCGCCAAGGAAGGGCTAAGGCAGAAGCAGGTTAGCGGGGTTATTGGCGGGAAAAACGAGGGGACGTCTGTGATACTTTCAACAATAATTTATTTTATTTTATTTTTTTGTTAATAACGATGTTTTTTTGCATTGATTTTTTTAATGACAGCGGCCGGGCGGAAGGAACGGGAGAGAGACGGAGACGGGACAGAGGCACCTCGACGGGTTCCCTCCCGCACAAACCCCCACCGGGGATCAAACGCTCAACCCGGGCTCCTGCCCCTCGGCGGGAATCGAGCCCTCGACCCGTCTTTTCAAAAACGGGAATAAAATTTAAAAAAGGAATCCTTTATAAGCTTTAAAGCGCTTCTGCGGATTCTAGAAAGACAGTTCCTGAGCGGCGTGTTAATATTATGAAACCGCGTTAAAAAAAAAAAACGCAAAAAAAACTGGGTAGTGACCACGCACTTGCCTTAAATTGATTTTTAAGACCAGAAATGCAGCCACAGAGGCGACGGGAGGGAGACGCCCAGGCCTGGGGAGCGTCCGGCCTGCGCCGGCCACGGTCCCGGCGCATCGTCAGGTCTCGGCGACCGCAGGCCGGACTCGAAATCCAACAAATCCAGGCGCTTTTCTCATAGCTCATTTCTTAAAATTTTAAGCGGATCCCTGCGTGCGGCCCGCAAACGATGCTCCTGAACAATCGAAGGGCCCTGGGCCGAAAGCAAAGCCCCCCTGGTCCCGGGCCCCCCGACGTCGGTTCACCGCGTCTCTCTGTTCTCTGTTCCAGGTGTCCTGAAGTGTAAGAAAGACAAGGCCTACGAGGGCGGCCAGTCCTGCGCGGCCTGCGCCAGTCCCCGGGCGCTGCGGGGACAGGAGATCCACAGGCTGGTGGACGTCCCCTGCCGGAAGCCGGCCATCGAGTCGCCCCTGAGGCTCAACGACAGCCGCAGCGACGCCGAGGAGGCCGAAGACGAGAACCCGGACGGCGTCGGCGACAGCGACGACGGCTGGGTCCCCCCCGACGGCTTCCCGGCCCCGCCGTGGCACGTGGCCTTGAACATGACCGACGAGCACGGGAACACGGTGAGCCTGGCCTGCGGCATCCGCAAGCCCCGCGGCGTCTACGGGATCCGCGTGAACCAGACGGAGAGCCAGGAGCTCGACGTCAACGCCACGGTGGCCTTGACCTTCGCGTGCCCCATGACGCGGGAAAACTACGAGAAGCTGTGGAAGCTCATCGCCTACTACAGCGAGGTCCCCGTGAGGCTGCGCCGGGACGGCCCGCCCGCCCAGGAGCCCGGGGCCGCCGCCCGCTACCGGCAGGACGCCGAGGAC